GGCACAACCCTTGTACATGTGTGTACCTGTCCATGCTCTCGTGAATGGTACAAAGTGCTACGCACATGTAAGTGGTGACAAAGTGCTGAATGCAAGAATGCTACGTAGGCACTAGCGAGCTTAAATCACTTGATTCAAAGAAGAAAAGAAAAGAACGCATAGGAGGAGGGTAGTCGGCTCTGTTACAAAAATCCACAGGCACGGCAAGCAGGTTTCTGGAACACATACAGTGGGGTGAAGTCCCATGGGTAGGGGGGAGGTAGGGGGTGTACGTGAGGGTCAGGAACTAGGGGTTGGGTCCGAGGCTAGGGGCCAGGATTACAGTGCAGCCCCAGTGGTGCCATGTTGAGTGCTTGCGAGAATGAACCTGGGCATAAACTTGGCCAGATGCGTGCTTTCTTAGCACGAACATAGCAGGGGGCACGGGGCAGGGGGCAGAGGGCAGGAGTCAGGGGTCGGGGGGCAGAGGGCAGAGGGCAGAGGGCACGCTGGGGCGAAGACGGTAGGGGTCAGCGGTTAGGGGTTAGGGGCTGCATGAGACATCTCAAGGCTTTTGATAAACATTACAGGCTGTGTTAACAGTGAGTAGTAGGGGCTAAGGCTCAGGGTTAGCGACCACCTTCTTCCCCCGAATACAACGTACTGTCATTCTAGATGTCTCTAGACTGAAAGATGCATCAAATACAGCTATAACGACCGCACTTTGTATTTGGGGGACGATGGTAGGACTCAGGAGGGTTTCAGACTGGGTGTTAAGGTTAAGACTTAAAAGTGCTTGGTGCCAGGGTTAAGGGTTGGGAATCAGGAGTTAGGGCCTACTAGGGCTAGGAGTCAGGGAGGAAGACCTGGAGCTGACATTTCAAAGCTATTACAGTGAGATTACAGGCCACAGTAGGGGTGAGGTATATGGGATCAGGGTCAGCAGTTGTGACTAGGAGGTAGGGTTAGGGACTACTGCCTTCACCCGAATAGAACGCCTGGTCATTATAGCTGCGCATTTGGCCCAATTTTTCAGTCCAATTGCAGCGATAATGACCGGGCGTTCTATTTGGGTGAAGACGGTAGGGGTCAGGGTTAGGTGCTCGGGGTCAGGATTAGCCACTCGGGCTCGGGCTCGGGCTCGGGCTCGGGCTTGGGCCAGCGTCAGGGCTCCTGCTCCAATCGCCACCTTACTTACATGTAGGGACCTGCAACAGCACGAGGGGAAAGAAAAAGACACCCGCAGAGCAAATCGAGCAAATGAGCAAACAAGCGACGATTCTTTTTTTGTCAGTGCCTAACAATGATGAAAGAGAAAACGCGAAACACAAAAGGCAAAGAGCGAACGAAGGCAAAAAGACAAAAGTGTTACGATCCTGGTCAATTTCGAAGTGCAAAATTCACGAGAAAGCACAGTGTCGTCCAATAATAACTCCGATTGCAAAAGAAATGCATGAACTTGAGAAGAGAGAGAGGGAAAGAAGAAGAAGAAGAAGAAGAAGAAAGACAGAAGAAGAAAGAAGAAAGAAAGAAAGAAAGAAAGAAAGAAAGAAAGAAAGAAAGAAAGAAAGAAGAAGAAAGAAAGAAGACCCACAAGCGTGGCAGTGTGTATTTCCATGTTCTAGCGGAATATTCATTCGATTTTGCTCATCCTACCCATGAAAAACTCTCTCTCCCCCTCTCCCCCTCTCTCTCTCTCTCTCTCTCTCTCTCTCTCTCTCTCTCTCTCTCCCGCCCCCCCCCAAAGCACAACGCCCCTCCCTTGGGACCCCCCACCCCAGCCCACCCCCCCAAAAAAAAACGTGCATCCAGCGCACCTGGTCCAGCCCAACCCGCACTCATGCGTGCAGCGCATGTGCGCTTCGCCTGGCACATAGCACAGCGCAGCGCGCACCAGTGCTGTGTGCCGCAAGTATGGTTTAAAACGGTCTGTTTAAGGAGGTTGAAGGGATATTAAGGGTTTGTCGAACGGAACTCATACCTGGAAAAAATAAAATAAAATAAAATAAAATTTGTTTAAGGCATTTTGAAGGATTTGAGGGGGGTTAAAGGATCTGTTTAAGGGATTTTAAGGGTTTGTCTTAGGCTTTTTAACTGGGTTACCAGCCGGGCCGCCTGGGTCACCCTATTTTCCTGGGCGGCCCGGCCGTGAAAAGACCAGGGACGGCTCTAGCAAAAAAAAGAAAAAAAAAGAAGAAAAAAAACCGAAAAAAAAATATCTTCTGCAGAAAAATAAATTGAACAAATTTTGCCTCAGGGTCACATCAGAATTCCTTACCAAATTTCAAAATATATACATATGCAAGTGGTCCCGTGCCACTCTGATAGCCTAGCTTTTCAAGGGATTCCAAGGGTTTGCGTGAGGTTTTTAAGGGGGTTGAAGGGATTTTAATGGTTCTAAGGGGGTTGAAAAGATTCTAAGGGCTCATTTCGTTTAAGGGGTTTTCAGGAATTTTGTACCGGGGGTTGAAGGGAATTTAAGGGTTCGTTTAAGGGGCTTTCAGGAATTTTAAGGGGTTGAAGGGGTTTATCATTTATGCCTTATGGTCTTTTTTTTTTTAAGGGTTTGTTGAAGGGTTTGAACTTTGAAGTTTGAACTTTGAAGGGATTACGAGTTAAGGGTTTAAATTTACAAGTTAAAGGGGTCTACAAGTTTAAGGGTTGAAGCTTCTTTTTTTTTTATGGGGGTTTGAAAAATAGCGCTTAATGGTCAAAGGGGTCCAGAGAGAGATTGGGTTGAAGAATTTAACAATTCAATAGGGTTTAAATTTTAAAGGTTTATGGGTCTTTTTAAGGGGTTTAAAAGGGTTCAAGATTTGTTTGAACGGGGGTAGGCATTAAGGGGTCCAGGGGAGAAGGGCGTCAGTTGCTGTTTAGGGGATTTACGGGGTTAGGAGTTACGTTTTGCCTTTTAAGTGTTAAATTTAACTTAATTACGGTTTACACCAAACCTTGAGCACGCGGCCCCAGCCATGCAGAAATTTGTCAGTTCACTACTCAGAAAATTCCGCCGCTACCGTCTTCACCCGAATAGAACGCCCGGTCATTATAGCTGGCATTTGGCCCAACTTTCAGTCCAGATGCGGCGATAATGACAGGGCGTTCTATTCGGGTGAAGACGGTAGGGACCACGGGACCACAATGGCTGGCGGCACCAGTCAGAAAAGTGAAAAAAAGTCCAAAAATAAAATTTAAAAAGAGAAAAAATGCTACTTACTGGCAGCAGTTCCAAAAAGCTTGGCGCACAGTGCAGCGCCTCCACTGTTATGACTGACCCTAGTCTGACCAAGCTCCAGCTATGGCAGCACAGCATTCAAATTCCCAATATCAGTTGGACGTCATCTACTCGGCTTTCCTTTGTGACTCATTGTGAGGATTCTGTGGAGCAAATTGCACTTTCAGTGTTTTCTGTCATACCGCTTGGTCAAGTCTTCCGCTGTGTTTATCTCTCCCTGTGCGGTGTGATACTCCCATCCTCTCCCCTTCCTTCTGTGAATGTATGCGCATACATTCACAGAAGTCTATGTGAGCGAGTGTTGGTCTTCTGGCAACAAGCAACCGGGTTCATAGCACACGCCGGGCGGGGTGTATTATTAGTGGGTTTAAACTTTAAACCACCAGCACGTCCGAAAAAAAGTTTAAAAGATTGAGGCTTTCCTAAAAGCACGGACGCCATGGAGCGTCAATAAAATACATCGGCGGTTCAAGGCCTGCTATTTTTCAGGAGAGGCTCAATCTGTTTTTTTGAATTTTTTCCGACGTGCTGGTTATTTACAAGGCCAGGAAATTTCGCAGACCTGTGGTTTCTGCTGTAGCCTTCTGGAGTTTCAAATCCTGATGACGTCAACATTCAAATCCAGACAAGTTAAAATCTGGAGAAAATTTTATTTAAATTTATTGAATTTTATTCGTATTTAATATTTATGAGTAAATTATTACCCTTCGCAAAAAGATCAGGAGTTGAAGTCCTGATGGACAATCTGAGAAAAAAAAATGAATACAAAAATAAACCAGGCTACCAGAGTGGCCCAGGACCACTTGCCCAGCCAGGGGAAAAAAACGCATTAAAAATAAATAAATAAAAATACAAATTATTTTTGTCATTTTTAATTTATTTTAAATTTTGTAAGGAATTTCGATGTGACCCTGAGTTAAAAGTTGTTCAGTTTATTTTTCTACATAACATTTTTTTTTTCGGATTTATTGGATTCTGATTTATTTTTATTTGTTTTGCTGCGACCTTCCGCGGTCCTTGCACGGCCGGGCCGCCCGCGAAAATACGGTGACCCAGGCCCGGCCCGGCTGGTAGCCTAGTAAATAAATAAATAAATAAATGTGGGCATCATTCAGCTAAGGGACAGGTAGCCAGAGTTTTTTTTTTTTTTTTTTTTTTTCAGAATTATACCCTGCCACTCATCTGCTTGCAGTGGAATTTGCAGCCATTTTGCTCTCTGGCCGCATGCGCACGAAACTTGCGGCGACATGTGCGCCGCCATGCTGGAGAAATTTATGCGAAAACAAAGCTCCTGGCAAAACTACTGGTGGTTTAACACTGAGATCAAGGTTTTTGTTTTCGGGACTTTGTAGAATTTTTTCGTTTACGCACTGAGAGATCATGAGTGTGAGAGATTTCAGCTGCTTGTTCACCTGGAAGACCTCCAAGTGCATTGAAGCACAGACATGTGTCCTCTACCAGCACAGGTCCCTTCACCTGCACGCACACATGTACACCACCACACAATCAACGACGGATCTCTCTCTCTCTCTCTCTCTCTCTCTCTCTCTCTCTCTC